CAAAGAGAGTCAGCAGCCAGCAGAGCAGTTTTCACACCAATTCATCAGCCTCAGGATGAAAGCCACACAGGCTCTGCAGTTCTCATTGTGGTGCTCACTCTGGCTTTGGCTGCACTCATCTTCCGCAGGATCTACCTTGCACATGAGTACAAGTTTGACTATGATTTGTGACCTTCCTCCTGAGTCAACCGCTCGTACTACCAACTCCACAGAACTTTAATTAGCTAAAGCAGAACCAGAGGTGAGGCAGTGGCTAACAGTGACTACAGCTGTCCTCCCTGCCTGTCCACAGAGGGTTCAGCCTCCACTTAGGGGGAACTTTCATTCCTCTAATCGCTAGAACACCTCCAGGGTGTCTTTAATTTAATGTGAATTTTACTTTCCAGAGCATCTTGAATTTTTGTGAATGGGAAACTTCATTGTTTGTGACCGGTTAAACCACACACACACAACATGTCCCCTTCCATAGAAATTGTCTTACAGCTGCTGACTGTTTCCAATATTGAAATAACAGAGTAACGTAAAATGACAACAACATAGGATCAGGGGCAGTTGTTGTCTCATACTAATTATTTGATCAAGAAAGCATCTGCACAAATTACATGTGCTATTATGACTTTATCATGTGTTTTATCTTCCTGCAAGGTCAGCTTGGTCACAGTGCACAGGGCTCTGTTTTAATGGTTTGAGGCTAACAACAAGCACAAAGTTAATGTGGACAATTGTTTTAATTGCACGGGGGCATTCAGACCAATCTGAATAGCAGAAGCTGCAGCTGCATCACCGTGTGTCCTGCTACTTTTAGGTGACTGTGGGGATTTAATAGACTGATGTAGAAGCTTTCCGTACACTGTAAAACATCAGTAGTTCAAACAAGGACCAAGACAAATATTAAAAAACTAAATTTCATAAATTAATCTAAATACAGTACAACAGAGCTTTATGTTAAAAAGAGTAGACTATAACGCAGTCTATTCCTTTATAGGTATAGTGTCTTTTACAGATACCTGTACCGATATCCTGTGCTATAATCACTGTCAATTTTGTCTGTGTATTTATTTGAAAAGAATACAAAAAGAGTATTTAAAATGTTTAAACTGAGATTTTTTTCTTGATTTCCCCCAAATACAATAAATTTATACTCATCTTATACAAAGTTGTCTGTGAAGATCCAATTAATACTGAATTATCAGTGCATCTAAAGATTTTGTTAGCAACTTGTGCTACTGATAAGATGATAACCCTTAGCTAAGGCACTGCATATTCCAGCAAGAAAATACTAAACAAAACAACCAAATAGTAAATATTAGAAAGGATATCTGCAGTAAAAGTTCAGGTATATAACTAAAGGCTAAAGGCAGAGGAACTTGTGCTTGTATTGCACACTAGTGCACAGGATTTTGGTAACGTGCACCAGAATTGGTGAAGGCATGTGTAGAAATTAGCAACACTTGCTTTCAGTAAGTATTTTAAGTCAATCACAATATTAATTATTCAGCACAACAATGGTAAACCACATTCTTCACAAGTTGTCATAGCACTATAGCTCCATAGTAAAAGCCTCGAGTGTTATGTTTCTTCACTGTCATCATTGGATGTTGTCTTTGTACTATTTTCATTTAAATATAGGGTTTAAATTAATTGTTACTTTTTTGGAAATGGGGTTAAAAATTGATGAATCCTTTCAAAGTGAGGTTTAGGATTATGCTTTCTTTTCCTCTAAACTTTAACCCTTTAAAGCCTAAAAGAATTGTCCGAAAATTTGTTGAACAATCTGGGAAATATGATATACTAGATGTTAAGGGGTCAAAGGTCTTTTAGTGGCTGAAGTGTCTAATGTCTTGTACACAGAAACATTTAAGACACATTTCCATCAGTACACTACCTGCTTTGTGCTGAAGCATTTGTTATATGTTGTGCTGCCACCAAAATAGAGCCTGGAGTGTAAAGCTTCCTAGTAATCCTGTGTGACTGATCCAGTATCAGCTAAATGCATGTTTACTGAAGAACATGATCAGGGTAGACAGCTTTGTTAATCTTATTACCATAGCAATGTTTATTGGTGATGTCATTTTAAGGATTACTTGCTCAAACAAGACAGTGTCTTCATAAACGTCTGCCAAACGTGCAACCAAGTGCTTACTTCCAACACAAGTATAACTGCCTGGACTCTTCACCTATCACACCAACATCACACTTTGATTCCAACACAAACTCGCTTTTCTGTGGATTTGTAATTCCATTTGTTTCAGTATCTTTCCTCTTTCGGTACTTCTGTCACCCCAGCTGTTTCATGGTGTTCATAGCACATGTCTTTGCATTCATTTTTTGTTTGCCTTGCATTCTCTGAAGTTATTTTTCCCAGTTTTTAGACTCAGAAACTGTCTCAAGCATTTAGTATTTACCCTTTTTGATTCAACTTAGATTTAGAATTTTATCAGTCTCGTGACACTCAGAGGAACATGGAAGCAATTTAAATGTATTCTTTGCACATCAAAGGTGACAGCTTTCTGATACGTAGAACGTCTTGGCTGCATACAGATAGGTCAAAGGAAGTTGCAACAGTCTACAGGAACAAATTTGCCTCTGTAGTCTTTTTCTTCTTCAAGCAGCATCGGATACCTGCATATGTCCAGGTATTACATGTAGACATTCAAGATTTTATTATTTTTTTTATCAGTGTGCATTTTGTCAGAATTTCTTTATGACAGTCTCCTCTGTCTTTATTCCCATAGCTCTTGTACTTGGATATAAACAGAAAATAAATCAATTTCAGATGAAGGAATGTGTTTGCCATGTGCCAAGTTTTATTCTGTCTTATCCTTATTTATTACCTTATTTAGCCCCTCACAGCCCATTGTTCGTCAGGGGGCTAGTTTCAGTTATTGTGCAAATGTACTGTTCATAAGGTTGGGGAAACCTGCAGTAGCTGAGACTGAAGAATCAACAGATTCAACAGAATCAACCTTTTGGGATTTTCTTACCTGAATGATCGAGCATGCATCAAGTCAAACTCTGATGATCAAGTTGACCTCTTGCAGTTGTGTGCAGGGCCTGGATCCCAGAATGTGTGACAATCAATAGATGCTCTCTCATTGTTTCACTGCCTGTTAAACTTGTTACAGTTTCCTTTGGGCATATTATCTTGCTTTTCAGGCTCTTCATGCTCAAATTGCAAGATTTTGATTAAAAACGAATCAGGGCCTTCAGGACAAAAAAGTTGTTTGATCAATGCAACATGTCTAAATGCTTCATTCAAAACACGTCAACACCAAGTTTGTTTTTTCATTCGATAGCCATACACTACATTTAAGAATTAAAATGGCATTATTTTATGAACATTATTTTTACACAGAAAAAATTAAAGCCAGATGACTATCAAAGTGTACAGTAAAGCCACCCACACCTTTTAAAAGCTCACCCAATATCCACTTTTTGAAGTTTTCCACAGTGAATGATCAAAGGACATATCAGATATCTAGTTTTCAGTCTTCTAAAGACATTGAATTGATGCTGTTTTTGTAGTGAAGCTATGATGCATGCCATGATGATGGTCAAAGTATGTTATAGATTAAAATCAGAAAGAACCAATCAGCTAAGTAAAGAGAAATGACAGGCCATGATTACTTTCAGAAAATTTACTTTTTTTTCCCCAGCTTTATTTGATAGACACAGGGAAGAAACGACAGAGAGAGAAGGGGAAAGGGTCGGACTTGAACCGGTGGACCGGCCGCTCTCATCCATATGGCACGTGATCGCCCCCTGAGCTAGAGTGCAATTTTTATTTTTATTTTTAAGGGGGAAAAAATCACACTGAGGATGCCAAAGTCATGTATAAAATATGAAACACTTGGTGTTAAGGTAAGGAATTACAAAAGGGTAAATTGAACTCCTCTATGTTCAACACTGTGTCTGTGACGGTTCTCGGTCATCCAGGTCATCGTAGTCTAAGGAGCTTGGAAAGAAAAGCGACCGCACGTTTCACCTCTCATCGGAGAAGCTTCTTCCACAATGGTATACTGCAAACTCGGCTCTCTTTGCCCGAGAGATGTCCAGTGTTGAATCATTTCTTTCAGTATTACATACAGTATTTCTTTCACAGTGTTGCATCCCCTTCCTCGAGCCTTCATACAACCTTATCAAACCTTGTCATATAAAGATGTAAAAGTAATTACAGAGACTGTTCAAATTTCTGTCAACATATGAAAATTAAAAATACAGATACCAATGTTAGAATAAACAGCTGTACTATCCTGATTTTATTCAATGTGTTTTTGGGTCCAACTCCTGCTATCATGGACTTTTGTAGGCTTTTCTTTTTCACATTTGAACAACATCAAAAGTTGTTTAAGGAGGACAGCCTCCATTTTTACTGTGCTTGTTTTTATTGCCTAATTGTAAAATCTACTCTTGCCAGTAGCAGCAGCAGCAGCAGCAGTGAACCCGGGCGTGCTTAAAGAAAATCATCATCTGTTTGTTTCTCCAAACACTTGATAGGATAATGCATTCTAATCATTTAAGAGCACATCGTCCTCAACACCCACAAAGACTGCTCGAAAATTTGGTGCTGAGTTGACGTCAGATTATCTGGGAAGAAATTTACTGTAGAGAATCATGTCCTGACTGACAGTAGAGGATTTTGGCGAAACCTCTGATTTTATAATGTATATATCGCCTATTGTAAACTGAAAATGATATCGCAAATGCCGGACAGTCATACATACAGCTGACTGGAATTAATCTAAGGAGTGTAGCTCGCAAATATCGTTTTTCATTGTTTTTTTTTTTTAAATATTAATACAACGATCACTCCCAGCTCGTCAGGCGTTCATTATGTTTATGTGCTTGTTTATATATTTGATTATTTCATGTGACGCTACATGCGGTCCTGAAGCTGCGCGCTCCTATCCACGAAAAGCACCTCTGGAGTTTGATGACCAATCACAGCGCTTTTCAGTCTTCACCATCAGTCTCTCTCTGCGAAGCAGCTGGCGCACTCCTTCACCACAGTCTCTAGACTCTCAAGCTCGATTGTCTTCCTGCTTTAGACAGAAACATGGTACGGCTCACGGAGGGTGCTGCGCGTGGAAGGAAAACGTCGCTAATCGACTCTCAGCTGGACTTCTAACTCATCATGCCGCGTTACACCAGGGTCCTGCTTCTAGTTTTGTGTGTGAGTCTGATCGGGGAATGCCGGAAACACAGAAGTAGGAAAAAACGGTGGTCGGCACCGGCCGGGACTCATAAGCCAGCAAAGTAAGTTCTCTGTTTCGTTGTATTTTAAAGTAAAAAGAAAAAGAAAAAAACAACAACAACAACAACAACAACAAAAACCCCAAATGAAATGAAACAGCAATGTGACGTAAATCTTTTTGCACGTCTAGATAATTCACTCGTGGTTCATCCATCATATTAAAACATTAGTGTGGCACTGAACAGCATATTTAAGTCTTTAGTCTTTCTTTCTACGAACACACAGAATCACAGCATTCAAGTGTAAATTCCCCGTGGCTAAATACATTTTACCAATTTGCAGTCCGGTTCATTTTTGAATGGCAACTAATTGTGTGTTTATGCAACCAAACCGTGCGTAAAAAGCAGCCACAGAACAGCAATCCGCTGTCCTCGAGCTTCGTGAAATCATCTACAGCAAAGAAAACCATGCTTGGAGATACAGCGTGTTATACAGATGTTATTTCAGTTATCAGGACTTCTGTGAAGGGAGCAGGAACGGGTCCGTGGGGGGCAAGAATTTTAGGAATTATCATTCTGCCTGTTATTTAGCTGCTATCGTTCGCTGATTGTCAGCTCTCTACCAGGAGCACTCCATGACTCTATATCCTGGATTTAATCTCTTTGGCTAACAAGCTGTGCAAGTTACTGATGCTGATCGTGTAACGTCTGATTACAGACTCACGTTTCCTTTAGTTTCTTCCGTAATAATTCAGTTTTCCTTTTCATTGTTGATCTGTTGCTGATTATTCCTGATTTCACATGTGTCATAGTTCCTGTTTCCCCCAGTTTTTGTGTGTTCTTGATTCAGTTCTGAGTTCTGATGTTATGATTTCCTTCCAGCTTCTCATTTTAAGTCTCCCCCTATGTTTAGTATTATGCCCCATTGTTCATAGTTGACTTATGGATATTTCTAGTTTCTAGTCTCAGCTAGTTCCCCCTCATGTCCAGTTTGTCTTAATCACATCTTTGTGTTTTTTCCTTCCAAGCATCCCTCTTGTATATCAGCATTCTCTCTGGCTGTTTACATGTCAAGTCTACATTCTGCACTTCCTGTCTTATTTTACCACCAGTCCCTGGTCTTGTGTGCCTTGTGCTCAGCTTAGTTTCAGTCTTGTTTCTCAGATTTAGCTCTGTTTTCTTGTGTGTTCCAGCTCCAGTTAATTATGTCACATGTGTACTTAATCCCCCAGTTTCCCTCAGTTCCTGGTCGTGTCATAAACCGTCATGCTATGTGTCTCCCCTGTGTCTCCCCTGTGTCCCTTTTGCCCATCCAGTAGTTTCTCAGGGTATTTTAATACTCGTTTTTTTTTTTTTTTTTTGCTGTACCTCAAATTGGGCTCTTACAGTGTTTGTGGATCATAATTATTTGGACACTTGCTAACTGCTTTTCTTCCTTCATTTTATATGTAAATAGAGTTGGTTGCAACTCATAAGGGTCACCACAATAGCTCATCCATTCAATCTTTTCCTATACACATATCTAGCATCGCTCCTCTCCATATGTCTAAAGCAATTCAGTGTCAGTCTTGACAAACATGCAGTGTATATACCAAAATCCCTTTCGTTCCTCTGTGCGACAGAGCTGCATTGTTGTTCATAAATTAATAAAACCTATCAATGAGGCACCCTGATGTTCTGGGTGAGTGCCCTAAAATACTCACTGAAATGGAGTATTTTGCAGCAAAACGAAGCAGTGTACCTTTTATCTAGAGAGACAGAACGAAAACTCAACTACTTTATTAAGAATGTGAGGCTATGGGTACTCTAGGAGTGTTTTGATCCATTCATACCACAAGTGACAGCAACTTAGTATAGTGTGTTATTTTGTCACCAAAATTCAGAAATGTGCATCCATCAACCTTTGCATTGCATTTAACTGTGTGACTTTAACTTGCAACAACTCACCTCCCACAAGATTTAAGAGTAAAATGTCTTTATTAATTGAGCTATTTATATGTATTAGATTTATTGTGTTATATTTTGTAACTTTGCAATATATTGTGTGATTTAATTTAGTTGACTTTTATTTTTGCACAAAGTTCCTAAATGTTTTTCATTTGAATATAAATATATGTCTTATAGGGAACTTGCTGGAACACCTGACACTGTTGTTATTGTAAGGCCAGGCTCCGAGACCAGGATGGAGGACAGGTGTGTAACACATTTGTCTTTTATGCCCAACATTCCAATGTTGCAATTAATTGTTCACATTTGTTTTTAACTGTGACCACAATCTTTCCATAATAATAATTATAATTATAAATGTATTCATCACACTCAATCACAATTACATTTGTAAATTTCAAGAAAAAATATTTGCAAATTAATTACGGGTCATAAAAGCAAAGTTTGAAAAGATATGAGATATTATTTTATTTTATTTATTGTTGTTTGGATAGTGTAATGGTTGTTTGTTCCTAACAGAATTATCATTGTGACCATTAATAAAACAACAGCAGTCTTTCTAGTTTAAGGGTGACAACGTCCGCATTAATAAACAGCACACGACTTTTAGAGTCTCATGTGGTACTACTTCTTGATTTCATCTTTACTTTCTTTGTCCTTTCTTTAGTCAGAGTTAGGAAAGCTGATGGTTTGGCCTAGTATAGACAAATTATCACATTAGGAAGTTGAGGTTTCTAGGCAACCAGGGTGACAGGTTCAGCTCACACATGTAGGCAGAGGTCATTTAGTTTTAAATCATAAAGGTAATAAGTAATAATAAGCTGGTTACACAACTGAACTATTGACTTATTTTGTCACACAGCAGTCTCCTTCTAATTTAGCCCAAATGTTCAGCTGTGAATCATCAGCCTGTTGGGTTCATAGAAAATGTGGTATGTGTTTTGCAATGAGTGAGGATTGTGGATGTTGTTCACCACTGCTAAATTGAAAGATCAATATGAAGGAATCATTTACTGACGAATATGAGGAGTAAGAATGATTTGAGTCATGGGCACCTGACAGTTTTTGCTTTTAGCAAACGTTCACTACTTCTTAATCCTATCTTTTAGTTCCCCTTTTTTTCTCTGTCTGGTTTTTGTCATCAGTCCTCTATCAAAGAAAGTTGTGGATGGAACTAAAAGCCGGAAGGTAAAGACCAGCCACCTCCTGCGCATTGATGAACACGATTTCACCATGAGGCCCGCATTTGCAGGTAAGCTCCAATAGCTGCTAATTTCCATCATGATAAGAGTAATGTGTTCTTGATTTCTTTAAAAACACGTGTTTTCTGAAAAATATAGAAAACCTACAGAGGCAACTGGATATGTCAGCTCAGCGCTTCACTAACATAGTCTCCCAGTCTATTTCTCCAAATTTTGTTCAACCTAAAGTCAATGTTGATACCACTCTGACTCTTTCCTTCTTGACTGACCCTTGTAACCCTTAGTTTAAAAAAAGATTCATTCCATGATCACTTGTGCTCTTTAACACGTGACTCCTGTGAGACTCTTGTGCAGTCATTTAAATGAGGAAGAAGTCAAAGTCTGCACCAGCTGTTGCAGTCCCTTCTGGCTTTAAAAGTAGCGACTGGAGTGTAACTAATGAAAGAAGTGTTTAGTGTTTGAACTGCTTCTAAAATGTATATCAGAGTGTGACAGTACACAAGGTTTATCGTCAGCAGTGTATAAGGAGAGCTAATAAGGTTTCTGTGCTTATAATTAAAGCACCTGCACTGCTCCCATTGGACTGTGGTGAGACACATTTAATAGATGAACAGTAGCAGACAGTTTGGTGAAATATTTGGAATATTTCATATGACATCAATCTGCAATGTATTTATGTAGCTCCACCTTCATGACTGTCTACAAAACAGGGCAGATACATTTGTATGGATTGGTTCTATTTGTAGTATTGAGACGGTCTGGTTTTTATGTCACCAATGTCACTCTGAGGAACTCTGCAGTGGGATTTCTTTCTGGTTTTACTGTGTGTTACATTTTCATTGTCTGTGAACTGCCAAGGTTTGCATAAATGTCATCATTAGACATGGAGCATGAGGTTTGGAGTGGACATCTACGTGCATGACAATTTCTTTAGGAATGTGCGGCCCCATCAGCGGGGACTTTATGTTCCACAGGCAATGCAATGCACTTAATATGCATGTGTTGCAAAGACTTCAAAGAAGTATAACAGGAATGATTATTCCTCCAGCTGTCTGTGTCTATGTTCGCAGCAGAGTAAAATCACTGCTTAATGCACAGGCCTAGTTGTCTAATCTAAGCACAGTCAACCAACAGTGGATTTACAGTTGTTAATCCACACAGAGTTCAGCATGGAATGGACAAAGTGTTTTCTCTCTCTATTCTGGTGAACGGACAAGATAATAATTCAAGCTCTCAAAACTAAGGCTGACTAGGAAAAATTACAGCTGCAATCTTAGATATGTGAAAAAATAAAAAGCAGTTGATTAGTATTTAAAAATGAACTCATGCTTCAGAATCAATCACATTATGTATGTAGGGAGACACTCCTTAAAATCCGCACTGCACCATTTGAATAGATAGAAACAAAGGAAAGATTGATGGAGGGGTTTGGTTTTTTGGTTTGGGTTTGGTCAATTTAGCACACAAAAGAACTAGATAAATAGCAGCCCCACATGTGCTGAGGCACAGGATTAGCAGTGGGTCAATAATAGTGGGACACCCCCACTAGGGCTTAAATACCTTGGACTCTCCAACAATTGCCCTTAAATCTGAAGAAGCTTTTTGGATACGAGGTGAAATGTCTTCAAGAAACTTAAAGAAGTCCAGTCGCTTTTCTTTCCAAGGTCCTTAGAGCTCCATAGGCCATACAGCAAAAGTATTTCTCCCTATGACATGAGCTGAAATTTACTGATGATAATGGAGAAATGAAAACGAAAGGCTCATCCCAAGAAACAAACTTGTAAAAGCATATGCGTTACTACTACTAATAAAATCTGTTTAATAATTTTACTCTAGAATGAGCAAATGTTAGTCTACTAGTTGACTAGACTTTCCTTATCTTTACAAAAGAGATTACACAGTTGTATGACTCCAATCTAACAGCAACAGTAACCGAAAACGTATATATGTTTATGTATTTTTAAAATTTTAAACAAAAGTTAAACTAACAGGAAATGCAAACCCGGGTTCCCTGGGTGAAAACCTATCACGCCAACACTGTGGCACATTTTGTACATACTGTTTTGTGATCTCAAACATGTATTTGTGACAAATATACCAAAAAATAAGAAATCAAACACATTTCCACAGCACGAATGTAGCATGATGGATCCATAGTGATGATGCACTTTTGATTTGTGGGCAAATCCACACATAGGACACTTCATGCAACTATCTCATCAGTCTATAAATGTTTGGAAGAAGAACGGATACCTGCTTTACATTCTCAGTAATTTATTGAACATGAAAACTTGTATTCGTCCTCTGGATAGACCACCGCTATTTCCTTGTCACTCTGTTTGGCTCAAAATGGACTTTGACTGTAGCCAGAAATTAGGCAATCCTGCTCCAAAAGCACTGCTAGCTGAGGCTTTTTCTCTGCAGGCATCTAGTGTTATGTCAGCTGAAGGGGCGTGTCTTCAGGAGGAGTTATAGTGAGTCCAGAACGTGACATGTGACATATGATGTGAGTAAGAGAGGGGAGAACACTGACAGCTGGAGCTGGGCACGAGTTACTATCCCTTCTTCCAGGTAGCAGCTTTGCTGTGCAACCAGTTATGTAAGGCTGACTCTCTCACTGCTGCAGAGATTAACAACACCACAGCAGCCAATGTGACTTTCATACAGAAACGACAGACTGCTGTGTGAATTTGTTTCTATCTGTTATGAGCCTGCTAGGATACTCTTCCATATCCCTCTAAATCCCAGACTGGCCTTAAATATAATCATCTCATCAGCTAAACAACACAGAGGAACAAACATGAGAATGCTGTGTTCTGCCTAACTCAACCTTTCATGTGAAATTACCAGTTATTACTACTGGCTTTAACGGGATACTCCAGCCTGTTATTTTAGGATTGTGTAAGGAATGCACTGAAAGCAAGTTTGCAGATCATAAGAGTGACTGCATCACATCTGATGTCACATTTCTATTGAAATCAAAGAAGATCTTAGCACACTTAGTTTGTGTCATCAGAAACAAACAGTTAGACACTTACCCATTCATGAGACAATATGCTATAGTTATGAAAGCCAAAAGTTCTTGTCTGTTGTGGAATTTCAGCTGCTCAACACTTTGGGGCCCTCACTGGCTTCTTTTTTTTTTAAATTTCAAAATGTACCCAATAATTTCAGTGGGAACTGTAGGCAGGCATGCTGTTTTGCCATGGGGCCATGTTGTTGGATGTCCAGTTTGTCATCATCTTACTGATATAAGCATGGAAAAAAATGCCTGTGCATAGTTCAGTTTTATTGTTGCCTTTACAGATGTGCAAGTTACCAAATGTGCATTAGTGCACCATAGACCTTACCCCTCAGGATTCGGTGTCCATCGTTTTCAACATGTCTTCGTTTAGGTCAGACCAGAGTCTGGCCAAAAGGAAGACATTTTCAGGACAGTGTTCAACTTTGAGATCTTGTGTTTTCCTGCTGGAGTTTAAACTTGCATTTGTGGATGCAGTGCCAAACTGTGTTCATAAGCAATAGTTTATAGAAGAGTTTCTGAGTCAATATAGATCTAGGTCGCTTCTTAAAGCTGTTGTCAAGGCTCCACTGTGTGGTGTTGAGAGTAGGGCCCAACTGCAGGATTCACAAAGCAAGATTTAAAATTCAAAAGGAGCTTTACTGCTGAGAACTTCAAAGTAAACATAACATAAAGCAGGAACAAATAATCTGACGAGAGGCACCTAACTGGAGGCACACAGCGAGAGACACAGCTTGAGGGTGGACGTGACAAATAACAGAAGCAAACCGAGGCTTTAAATAAACAAGAGGTGATTATGTCAGAGTGCCAACACCTGCAAACACAGCTGAATTGAATCTGACTAATTAAACAAGGGGAAGCAAAACCAAATATAATGCACACAAGATGAGGGACTGTCAAAATAAAACTAACACTGCAACCAAGACTATGACATAGAAACTGGACACAGTTTAACAGGGACCATGGAGACAAGACAGAAAGATACAGGGACATTATGGGGGAACAAGAAAGGTAAATAAAAAAGGAGACAAGACTGACATGTCACAGGAGACAGTGACGACAAAACAAAAAGACGAAGCTGGGACAGACTGGACACGACAGATATATAACATAATAAAATAAGAAACCAAAATCTTAAAACAGAACTCAGATGCACTACAAAATATTATACTCAAAACTAAATATTACAAAATTTGACCATAAGTCATCTTTTAAATCCAAAAGAAAGAAGAATAAGTCTACAACAAAAACTTAAAACACTGGATCAGCAACCCTGGACCATGACAGCAGTGCTACCTGCTAGCCAATTATTTCAGCTTGACCTTTATGCACAGATTTTTCTTGATTCTCTAAGAATTTGTACTATAGATGATGAAATCTAGTTTTTTTGCAGTTTGGCAATGAGAAATACTATTATTTACTGGTTAAACTTTTTGTATAGGCCTTGTTCAGTCTTTTGAATTACGATGAACTATTACTATTAATTACTTACTTATTAAGGTCAAGGTGAACTTAATAAGGTTTTTTTTTTAAGGTAGCATGTTTCCTGGGCTTGTAATCATTGTCTTAGCATCTTTGAAATATGTTAACAACAAATTTAAAATTGGTTTGCAGGATTTCAAATGTCAGTGACAATCTGGTTACTTTTTCCATTTTATTATTTCAGTTGAATATAGAGAATATTAGAAAATCATCTGTACCTCTTTTTATTTACAGTATGCACAGGGTTCTAGCTTTTTGGATAAAGTTTCAAAAGCAATGTGATTTTAATAGATGTCTTCACTATTATTAATTTGTAAATAGCTTTTTAAGTGTGCTTATTCCTCTGTGCACAGATATGTGCCTGCACAGTTTCTATCCTTGGGCAATAAAGACTAAAGACAATAATGAAAGTACTTTAGGTTCTACTTATTCTCATTGTCTTATTTCCAGTGTTGTAATATACTATTTACAGAGGTGGGAGGTAATGAAGTATTTGAACTGTACTGTAATTTTTACTTTTACTCCCTTAATTTTTTAAGAAGTATCTGTAATTTCTACTCCTTACATTTTCAAAACAGACTTGTTACCTTTGGTTTAATGTGTTATTTTAACTTTAAAAATCACAGTGATTTGAGCCTAAACAGTAACACAGGAGACAGTCCCGTTCATGTATTAATCACAAAGGGTGAAAGGGATGTGCCATAGTCAGAGGTTAAAGTGGGCCAGTGTTTATTTATTCATTTATTATCATTGTTATTATTTTATTTTATTTTATTTTTTGGCACAATACCAGAACAACTGCATGTTTCCATAAACTGCAGTTGCAGTACCAGCTATAGAAGAAGAGTGAACATAAAGTGGCAGGTAATTTCAAATGGGTCATTGCATTTTTTCATGTTGAGAAGGTAGACTGTGCTATTGAAAGGTTGCATGAAAATACTTTGCAGGTTACTGCACAATAAACAGGTTAGTTTGCTGTACTGTGACAGATTCAAAGTAAAGAATAGTGTGTCGGACTGGTGCACAGCAGTTGTGGTGCTCATGGTCAGTTAGGTACATAAAGGCTAGCAGTGATTAAGTTGAAGTTAAACTGATGATGTTGAGATTCATTCAGTAAATTCAGAATCAGAATACTTTGATAATTCCTAAGGAAATTATGTGGGTTACTGTTGCTCCAAGATAACAACAGTAACAGACTGAACTAATGAAATAATACAATATATTACAGTAAGAAATATAAGAAATAGCTCTAATATATATACAAATAGCTCAATTATAAATATCCAGAATATTACAGAGATTAAATATATAACAGACATTTACTCTAAACTGTAAAACGTTGTTATTTGTTATTTTACTGTAGAACATATGCAAAAGAATGTGTAACTATTGCACTGTGTACTGTGCATTAGATGGAGGAGTTGTACAGAGATATTCACATGCAGGAATGATTTCCTGTGATGTTGAGTGGTGCATTATGGGTAATCTAAGTCTCCCACTGAACATGCTCCTGTGACTGGCCAGCACATCATGGAGCGAGTCGGAGGTATTGTCCAACATTGTCCTTGTCTTGGACAACATCTGCGTCTCCGAGTCCAGCTCCGTCCCCACAACATTACTGGCCTTGTCGTCAGTTTATTGAGTCTGTTGGCATCTGCAACCCTCAACCTGCTGCTCCAGCATGCAACAGCATAGAGGATGGCAGCGACCACAACAGACTGATAGAAAATCCTGAGCACTGTCCAAAAGATGTTCAAAGTCCTCAGAGACGACTCTGGCCCTTCCTGTAGAGTGCAGTGGTGTTTTTAACCCAGTCCAGTTCATTATCTATGTGTACTTATCTATCTAGTATTTATAGTCCTCCACAATGTCTACATCGATCCCCTGGATTAAAACAAGGGTCACGGGTTTCCTGGTCCTCCTAAAGTCTGCAGTCAAGTCTTTGGTCATTGTCACATTGAGCTGCAGATGATTCTGCTCGTGCTATCTTCAGAAAACTTCTGAAGATGGCAGGTCTCTGTGCAGTGGCTGAAGTCTGTGGTGTAGTGGGTGAAGAGGAAGGGGGAGAGGATGGTCCCTTGTGGTGCCCTTGTGTTGCTGATCACCTTGTCAGAAACACAATGTTGAAGATGCACACATTGTGGTTTTCCTGTTAGATAATCAACAATCCAGGACACAAGAGACACATCCACCTACATCGCTGTCAGCTTATCACCCAGAAGGATTAGTCTGATGGCATTGAATGCACTGGAAAAGTCGAAAAACATGACCCTCACAGTGCTCGCTGGCTGGTCCAGATGGGTGTAGACACGACTGAGTAGGTAGATGATGGTGTCCTCAGCTCCTCTGAAGTGAAGGGGATCCTGATGTGGTCTGACTATAGGTCGCTGGTCAAGGATGAGTCTTTCCAAGGTCTTCATGATGTGGGAAGTCAGTGCCACAGGCCTGTAATCCTGGGACCACTGGAACGTGGCGTCTTTGGTACAGGGACGAGGCATGACATCTTCCACAGCACTGGGACCCTCTGCAGACTCATACTCAACATGAACAGTTTATGAAAGACTCGACAAAGCCTTGAGAACATGAGGACTCACCCCGTCTGGTCAGCAAACTTGCCTGAGTGGAGTCTCCTCATTTGCCTCTGAACCTGGTCGTTAGTGTGATAGGTGGGGGAGGGGTGTCAGGACTCAAAAAGGAGGCAACGATGCAGTGTTGAGAGGGAGGGAGAGACAGTGGTGTGGCTACAGGCAAGTCAGTAGGGGGCTGAGCATTCACTGCAGTGTTGAATCTGTTGAAAAGCACATTCTACTCGTTGGCTCTGTCCTCACCACCACCAGCTCCCCTGCTGTTGGATGGCTTGAATCCAGTGATTGTCTTTGTAACAAACCCACAGCAGACTCGGGTGCACCTTCATGCTTTGCAGCATCATTTATTTGCTGGTTGCTGTATACACACAGTTGGCTGCAGCTCTCTTTCGCTGCCAGCCACACACACTGACAACAACAACAGTACTGCAGGGCCCAGTACCATATTTAAGTGATTGCGGATGCCGTGCAGGTATGTCCACCTTCCCTGCATGACACCGCAGGCTATGCCCCACCACAGTCTTCATGCCACTCCACACCTCTCTCATGCTGTTCTGCTGTTCTGTTATTCAACCTTACCAGCTGTAGAGTGTATAATATAAAGCATAAACAGTGTACTGTCCGTGTAGAGGATGGAAATCAGCCAGGACACCTCATGAAACATCTGCTCATATCTTGTTCAGTTCAGTTGTGTAAATCCTCAAAGAGCACTGAACATCCCTGTCCCTTTCACAGCTGGGGTTCCGTTCTGCCAAGACGAGCCATCGGAGTCTAACCACTAAATACATCTGTCTAACTTCTGTTCATCAATAAATCAATTCATTCTTTTAATTACATGTTCTTATTGAACTGATTTTAACAAATCTGCTTTAACCTCTTCCCTGCTCATTTTCCTGTTTATAGGCAAAATCAGCCACTACAACGCAGGCAACAGAAAACAGAGCTATGTTTTTATTTTGTTCCACTTAACTGATTCAAGCTGAGGACCTGTATTAGAATTAAAATTTAGACTGAAATGAAGTTGGTATTCTTATATACCAATGTTATTTTATCATGGCATTAATATAGCACAGGATTCAGTTGCATAAAAATAGGTAGTAAAAATGTTCTTCAAGGAGCTACTTTACTTTCTTACTCTGAGTACATTTCAGAGCCGATAGTTTTTCATACTTGAGTAAAGAAGTTGAAATAGTACTTCAACTTTTTACTGGAGTATTTTTAACACTAGTATCTGCTTAAGTACAGAATGTATGTACTTTTGGCACCACTTCAGATTTGTTTGTTTATATCTGAAGGTCCAGCTGTCCCTGTTGGGGTGGACGTTCAGGTGGAGAGTTTGGACAGCATATCAGAGGTAGACATGGTAAGTATTTTAAATGCATTAAATGTAAATTTGCATTACACAAAATGTAGCTTAACAAGTATTTGGATAAAGTACCTGTAAGGCTGAATGTTTAATTGACACTGAAGTTTAAGAGACATGCAAAACTGACTGTGTTATCAGACATGTGACCCCATTCATTTAGAATACTGGAATAGTGATTATGGAAACTGCTGGTTCTTGTAGTGCACCCAGCATCTCGTCACCTAAATTTGTGGCACAAACACAAAACAGTGCCAGTGACTTGGACATCAAAATTTCCAGAGCTGGTAGGAGACTGCTGTAGTAATGTCCAGATGTCTGGAGCTATATAAAAAAAGTGGTTTCATTACTGCAATGAAGGAAGTGTGAAACACAACAGGTTATGGCAATAATCCCAACAGTCCACTTGGTACCTCAATTAGACACACAGCATAAGTATCATGTGCAGCCGGGGGCAAATTTTCAACCATGCCATAATCTTGCTAAGCAGTTCTTAGTGCCTAAAAATGAAACTAATCACACAACATAACACAAATTTAACACAAACACACAAACTGTCCCGTCTCACCAACTTAACGTGTTACAATGTGGACTTTAAACAGAGGGTCATTATCTGTGAGCACCCAAGCTTAACATGACTTGTGTGTCAAGCCTTGGAATTGGGGTAGATTTTATCTGCCAGTGCTTAATAAATATAGCATTGTCCAAGTTTAATTTATGAGAGACCATGGCTAAAATATGCTAAGTGTAGGTAGAACAGGGGTGGCATTTTTACTCTTACATAAACTGCTGATGAGTGAAACATCCTTCAATAATTACTCCTTCATTAGGCTTAAGGTACTGGCTCAAAATGGGTATGTTTTAAATTTTTGTAATTAATTGTAATAAAAATTAATTCGGTGACACTAACACTTTGTGACAACCAACCTTGCTTTGGGGTTGGTTGTCCCCAGAGTTATCAATGAGATATCAGTAAAAATTGTGATTTTTTTTTTCTGATATCATCTGAGAGCCCAGCTTTGGCACACACATTGACACATCAAAGCCATTCTTCCTTGGGCCAGCTACTGATATAAGGCTCAACACAAACCAAGCTGTTCTGTTCAGTGGAGGTGGGAGGAGCCAGGCACTCCTGTAACCCAGATAAGGTTGGAAGACAAACTTTGGGCAAACTCAAATTCCTGAAGATATCTCTATTTATTGGGTAGATGCCACTTACCCTGAACGATACTGGATGTTGGTAGGGGGTGCAGCTATTGGGAAGGAAATGGCCACAATCCTCAGAATAACATTTGGCAGCATCCAGGCATCACGGGCAGAGTTGACATACTTTTTAAAAGATCCATATTTTGACCCGTCCATGGGATTGAGTTTACGTGAGCAATTTGGAGGGGATAAAGGATATGATGATGAAATATGCAAGAATACATACTTTAGATCTTTAAAGGTGGAATCATCTCTGATTAGTAGACATAAGTTATTAATCATGTGAAAGTCTCAGACATGCCCTTAAACTGGTCTTATGCAACATCAAAGGTACTTGTTCACTTGGTGCCAAGAGTACATGTTGCTACAGTCATTAGTCATTATAAATCCGTTGTTATATAATTGTAATACTATGAGAACAGGACAAAAGATTATCTGTGGTGTGGAGGGGGGCATGCACGGGCGTAACCATTCCTGCCTGCAGAGCAACGTAGAGGATGAAGGAGGAAAAAAACGAGGGTATTCTAGGACCAAATGAAGCCTGTGGACTGTACTTGGTTAACATATGTTCAGCATTTTGGCTTACTGTACATTTATCTGTAAACAACTTCAATAATCCAGCAGCCACTGGCTGCAGTGATGTAATCCCAGGAAAAATTCAATAAATTAGGGATAGCAAGACCCTTTCATCCCGATGCTGTCTTCTTTCTCCCATTATCTCAGGACTTCACCATGACTCTGTACCTGAGGCACTACTGGAAAGATGAAAGGCTGGCATTCCCAAGCGCTACAAACAAAAGCATGACCTTTGATGGTCGCCTGGTGAAGAAAATATGGGTACCTGATGTGTTCTTTGTCCATTCCAAGAGGTCCTTCATCCACGACACCACTACTGACAACATCATGTTAAGGGTCTTCCCAGATGGTCATGTTCTATACAGTCTGAGGTGAAGACAGGAAACAAATGCCTTGCAAGAAAGGGCCCCCTGTCTAGAGTTACTAAGGTTTATATTCTGCTTTAATTCCACAGAGTAACAGTTACTGCAGCTTGCAACATGGATTTTAGTCGTTTCCCTCTGGACTCACAGACATGTACACTGGAGCTGGAGAGTTGTAAGTATTCTTAGACCATGAGACTCCTTCTTGTGCTGCTATGCAGTGGGGGAAATAATAATTTTATCCCCTGCTAAATCTCTAAGTTCACTCACAAAGAAATTAACAGTTTGAGAATGTCAACCAAAAATCCAAACCAAAAGTGGAGACTGACTAGGCACCTCCATGATGTTAATTTGCTTCTTCTTTAGCCACTCCTTTGTTGCCTTGTGGTGTGGTTTAGGCGACTGTCATGCTAGAAGGACGGTGTCATCCAAGATTTGCGGTGTCAATGCAGTGAAGTCGTCATCTACCTTAGCAGAAAAAAGTCACGCAACATGATGTTTCCACATCTGTGTTTAACTGTGGGGAGGAGACTTTGGGTCATTCCCAGCATTTCTCCTTGCAAACACGGCTGATACCAAAGAACTCGATTTTGGTTTTATCTGACCACAGCGCTTTCTCCCCCGCCTTCTCTGAATCGTTTAGATGTTCATGGCCAAATTAAGGTGGGTCTACACAGATGCCTTCTTGAGCGGGGAGACCTTTTAGGTGCTGTAAAATTTCAGTCCATTACAGTGTAGTGTATTATACTAATGGTATTCTTGCTGACTGTGATCCCAACTGCCTTCAGATCGTTAACAGACTCCTCCCGTGTAGTTTTAGGCCGATCCACCACCTTTGTCATAATCGTCTTCACCCCATAAAGTAAAAGCTTGCATTGAGCTCCACTCTTCCATTTTCGAATAATTGCATCAACAAGTGTCACCTTCTCACCGAGTTTCTTGCTGATGTTCTTGTAGCCCTCTATAACATCATGCAGAGCTACAGCCTTGTTCTTCATATCCTTTGACAGCTCTTTGGTCTTCCCAGCTTTTTGGTTGATATTCTGTCTTTCTTCATTAAAAAGACACCATAAAAATTAGAGACTGTTTATTTTTGTGTAAATGAGCAAACCTACAACAAAAAGGGGCTTTGGTTACTAAATTATGAATTGATTATTAGTATTAGTATTAGTTTAGTTCTTATTTGAAACTCAGCCATCAGCAGAATACAAGCTTTTATTGAATTTATGAATTTGCTCTGTTTGCTTATCCAGGTCCAGCTATGTTCATTCAGATGACTGCTGTTTCCATTCCTACTTTCTGTCCTGCAGATGCTTACACAGATGAGGACCTGATGCTTTATTGGAAAAGTGGCGATGAGTCCCTGAGCACAGATGACAGGATTTCTCTGTCTCAGTTCCTGATTCAGAAGTTTCACACTACCTCCAGGCTGGCTTTCTACAGCAGCACAGGTTGAGAAGGAAAACAAACCCAGATTTCACTTACACATACATATTTTGTGTAATACTAGATTGGTCACTATTACAACTGCTCCACAAAAACCAAAGATTTAGGGGAAATAATCTGAAGTTGTTGTAAACTACCATATATGAAAGTCCTGTTTTAGCATCAACATTATGATTATCTGGGAGAGATTCTAGAGTTAATTTCATGTTTAATCAGTAAACTAAGCCAAACTAAGTTGGGAGAGGTTTACATATTTCCTCTGATGTCTGCTGATGGCTCAGCCAGATCCAGCTATTACAGTCAGAAGTCATCCTGCTGACTGAGCTGAACCTCAGTGGGGCAAGTTAAAAAAAAAATCCCAAAACATGTTCATAGAGTGGAGGGAAAAAACTCTTTGATTCCTTGCTAAATTTGTCAGTTTGAAGACTTACAAAGAAATAAAAAAATATCTTATTTTTATGGTAGTTTCATTTAATGAAGAGCCAGAATATCAACAGAAAGATAAATAAACAGTGCAACACAATGCAAACATAACAAAGTTATAAATTAATTCGGATGTCTCTGAGTAAAATACATAGGTAAGTAATAAGTAGATTTCTGGTTCCCACAGGTAGGCTGTGTGCCCATGTGGCAAACAGATTAGAGTGGCTATCCATCAGTACATCAGTACAAGTGCATTTGCCTTGTCAAACCTAAAAATAGAAATTTATATGTTAAAACTTACCAAAGTAGAGCAATTTTCATCTCAGACAGTTCTGTCAAAAAGTCCTAGTCTATCAATTGATATGTACATCTGGCCCTTACATTACTGCCATCTTGTGGCCACAGTCAGATATTGCAGCTGGAAGCTGTGCATATTTCATCTCGTAGCAAAGTGTGTGTCTCTTAGGGCATGTCCATCTCCCAGTAACAATGACTGGAGCTGGCTAGGCTGAGAGGCCAGCAGCTTTATTCTGGTGGTTTGCACATGTGCATTGTGGATAAATCTCTGGTCCTTGAGAGAGGAGCACGCGAGGCTCAGCTTTTAGTTCAATTAAGTTTTATTTCTATAGTCCAAAATCCCAACAACAGTTGCCTCAAGGAACTTAAGACTTTTGCTGCTCTTAGATCAATTTCAATGTGTTATGGAAACTCAGCTAGCATTAGCAAGTAAATAAGATTCAGTGATTTAGCAGCAGAACAGATAAGTTTGCAGTTGCTAACCACCTTCATTCAATTCAATTCAATTTCATTTATACAGCACCAAATCACAATAACAGTCGCCTCAAGGCGCTTTGCATTGTAAGGTAGACCCTTCAATAATACATATAGAGAAAAACCCAACAATCATATGACCCCCTATGAGCAAGCACTTTGGTGACAGTGGGAAGGAAAAGCTCCCTTTTAACAGGAAGAAACCTCCAGCAGAACCAGGCTCAGGGAGGGGCGGGGCCATCTGCTGCCACTAGTTCTTTCTTAAAAGTAGAGATAGTGTCTGTCTCCTGAATCCAAACTGGAAGCTGGTTCCATAGAAGAGGAACCTGAAAACTGAAGGCTCTGAGTCACATTCTACTTCTAAATAACCACCTTGCCTAACATGTATGATGCAGAGAAGATGGACTGTGATAAAGTTGCTAATAATCATCTCTGCTTGCCTTTCTGTAAACGCCACCACACAACACTGCAATCAATCAATTCATTACAGAAACTCCTCTCTTCAACTTGTTATGTTTATAAAGCACATGAGAAGAAGCAATTTCTTCCATTCCAACCTAAGGAAAGAGCAAATAGCTTTCAAGAGCTTTTAATTGTTAATTGATTGTTAATTTCCTCATGTTCTGTCATTTTACCTTGTTTTTTTTCTGTTTTACCTCTAACACATAAAGCGAAAAGTATATTGTGTTTTACTTATTCCTCACTTATTCTATCTCCAGGTTGGTACAACCGTCTGTACATCAACTTCACGCTGCGGCGTCACATCTTCTTTTTTCTACTGCAGACCTACTTCCCTGCTACTCTAATGGTGATGCTGTCCTGGGTGTCCTTCTGGATTGACCGCAGGGCTGTCCCTGCCAGAGTCTCATTAGGTAAGAGGATCTGCATCATTGTAACTGTTGCCTGCTAAAACTGAATATGTTTCCTAAGGACATCAGATGTGAAAATGTGAAAATGGAAATCAGTTAGCTCTTTTTGGCCATTAAAACGACCTTCTGTTGTAGTTCATTGACTGCTGCGCTAACAAGACCTTGTATGCTCTTCAGGTATAACTACGGTGCTCACCATGTCCACCATCATTACTGGAGTGAATGCTTCCATGCCCAGGGTCTCCTACATCAAAGCTGTGGACATTTACCTCTGGGTCAGTTTTGTCTTCGTCTTCCTGTCTGTGCTAGAATACGCTGCCGTAAACTACCTGACAACTTTGAGGGATGGGAAAGACCGCAAACTCAGAGAAAAGGTTAAGGAACAGGTACAGGCACCTTTTTCAAAACTGACACATCTCAAACAGTGATCAAACCTTTTTAATTATGATTCCTTTTGTCTATTTCACCTAGTCCCAGACACTCCCTTGCACATGTGGCATGCCCCATACCAAGACCATGATGCTTGATGGGACATACAGTGAGGAAGATGCCAACAGTCTGGCGGGATACACAAGAGCCTCGATGGTTGCCGAGGACATATCAGATAAACAGGAACAGATGGTAGTGCATCTGTCTTTGGACAACGAGTCCACTGGCACCAAGAAGAAGGGCATCCGTGGCTTCCGGATCATTCAGAACACCCACACCATTGACACATATTCTCGTATGATTTTCCCAGGCTCATATATCCTCTTCAACCTGATCTACTGGTGTGTGTACTGTTGAGAATTTTAGCTCAAATTGTAGTAGTGAAAGAAAATTACTGTGAAACCGTTCTGTTGGACGTAAGCCTGAGGTTTACCTGTTCAAGTTTGCCAGGATGGCCTATCAAAGACATCTGGGAGTGAATACTACATCTACCCATTTCATTGTTGAACTGGACATTCGATATAGCTTATTTTTTAATTTTTATTAATGAATCCTTTAATTATCCAGGTAAAAATCTCACTGAGATTCAAAACTCATTTCCAAGAGAGACCTGGCATCATGGCAGCAAAAGACCTGTTCCTGCCTCACAAGCTAATATGTACCCAAGTCACGCTGAGAGAAAACTCATGGGGCTGGTTGCACATTCACTCTAATACAGCGGTCCCCAGCCCCCGAGCCACGGTCCGGTGCCGTGAGCCGTTTGGTACCAGGCCGCAAGAGTTGAGGCTCGGGTGTGAAATTTATGGTCTTCAGGGCTTTTATCGGTTTTTATTGTTATTTTTTATAGTTAACTCGGTTTCCCTGGGTCTTTTCCCGTGTGTTATGAATAAATCTTTTTTTTTAGTACCGGTACTGGTTTTATTTTGTTGTATTTATCTGCAACACCTTAAAGGCCAGTCCTTGAAAATATTGTCAGACATAAACCGGTCCGTGGCGCAAAAAAGGTCGGGGACCGCTGCTCTAATAAACAGGTTCATCTTGAGCCTAAAAAGCTTGCTACAGCACCCTAAGGGTAACACTGGTGATACTTTTAGCTCTTTCACAAAGATGTCAGTTTCCTGGATACATTCTTGTTTGCATCTTGTTCTGTTTTATGGTAACTTCAGCAGAAAGTTTCATCTACAATCTCTCACCACTGAATTTTGTCCTTGTTGGTCTTTCAGTAATATACAGTTTCAGCTTAATAAATAGAACTTAGCTCAGTTTACAAGTTTACAAATAATCTAAGTGGTTTATTCCACCTCAAATGTTCATTTGGACTTTTTAAAACAGACTGTTTTCACAGCAAATATTTTGGCTTGTAAAGATTAAGTACAGGTGTAACACATACCATGAAAAACAATTTTTATTCCATTTAGGTGAGCAAATTTCAGACCTCTGCCATTCATGCTGGCTCACATATAAACCTTAACTCAACTACCTGATGGAACTGCACTATCTGCAGTTAAGGTACTTTCACTTGTGATTATCAGATATGTCAGATTGTCTGACATGAGTGAAGTCTGATGGACTGATATTCTATTCAATTTTATTTTGTTCACTCTGTCTAACATGTGTAACTTAGTTGTTTACTATTAGTAGCAACGGTCTATCCCTTTGTTACCAAGTCAACATGATAACTGGGGTAACTCTTGCTAAGAACTCTTGCAATATACTCTGTGGGTAATAATATGGTTGTTTTCTGTTTCTATTAAATTCAATTCTACTGTATTTATATAATCCCAAATTACAAAAACAGTTGCCCCAAGGCATGTTATGTTGTTGGGTATAGACCCTGCAAAAAAATCTGTTTTCTATTTTTTTCAATTTGTCAAGGTTTTTCACATTATTTTTCACAGTTTGATCTGTAAAACATATAAGCACATTTTCTGCAATGGTTTAGTATTACTGACCAGTGAATCAGTGAGCAGCTAGGTCCCAATATTTAAATATCATTTGTGGAAAGAAACATTTATTCATTTTCTTGTGATTTGTTGGAGTTGCTCTTCATTTAGATGGAAGTTTAACCTGCAGATTTTGCACAACAAAAGTACTTTTGGACAGTTAAATCTAGCCTGTCTCTCTGCAACCAGCCCCTGTCCAGGCTTCCTGGAATAACACACTTCAACCTGAACCTCTCAACTGTCATGACTAAAAAGATTAAGAGAATATAATTTGGCTGCTATTGCCTCTGTAGTCATTGGATTTGACTGAGTCATGTATCTGAATTTGTCCAAAGCAGTTGGATACTGAAGCACTAAGTGAACTTTTAAAGTACTATTTAAAGTACAATTCATTACTGTTGCTGAACAAAGTATTTTGATTATCTATTTATAGGATTTTTAAATTCACCACATTTTATTTGTTTAATGTTTTATTATTTATTTGCACCAGTATTGGATCCATGTGTCATTGCAGGCAAGTTGCAGGAAACAGGGCTTACACAGAAACTGGTTGGTGAATGCTGCAAGACATGGAATATAATATCGTCCTATATGTATTTTTCTTAGAAAGAACTTTAAAACATAGAAAGCTTTACCAGTGATGTAATCAACTTGAACCGCCTTAAGTGAACATTGTTTTCATATACATATTTTGACAAGATAGATTTTTTTGTTTTTAATTAATTTCAGAGCAATGATTGACATTAATCATGTAGGTAACTAGAAGTTAACATTAGACTGATTGTGCTATGATGTGTGTGAATTCATCCATCACAACACTACTGTATTTTAAGCAGATAGTTCCTACAAAGATACAGTGAGTAAATTATTGAACACTTCACCAATGTTTTAAGTAAATATGTCTCTAAGGTGCTACTAACATGAAATTCTCACTAGATGCCTGTAACAACCCATCCAATCCTTACATGCAAAGAAATCCAATAATATGTGTCCATAAATTATGTATAATCATGAGAAATGACACGTGGGAAAAGTATTGAACACATGAACAATGGGAGGTGCAAGAAAGCCACGTAAAGTGATGACACCAGCTGAAATCTATCAGTTATTAGAAAGCAATCCTGCCACCTATTGCAAATTAATATCAGCAGGTTCAGTCTCAACTGAAGGCCTTATAAAAAGATGTCTTATTACCAAGGAGTCGCGCAATAAACATCTCATGACGGCTAAAACGATCTTGAGATCTTTGCAGCCTTATTGTTGCATTGGTTACAAAAGAATTTCTAAACTACTGAAGGTTCCCAGGAGCACTCTTGGGACCATAATCCCGAAAGAATATAATTTCAACATAAAGCAGCCACTACCAGGTGTTCCCTTCAAGATTTCAGACAGAGGAGTAAAAGAAATTATCAGACGAGTTGTCCAAGATTCAAGGACCATTTGTGGAGAGCAGCAGAAAGATGTAGAATTGTTTCAAAGAAACGATAAGCAACGGACTTCACAGCCACAGTCTTTATCCACGCACTCTTTTGCTGATAAAAAAGCATGTTGATGAATTGTGTTTAAAATTTGCTGAACAAGATTTAAACAAGTCTGTGAAATACTGGGGAAATATAGTCTGGACAAATGAGACCAAAATTGAACTTTTTGGATGCCATAGTACACATCATGTTTTGAGATCAACAGGCAATGCATATACCCCCCAGTTTGGAGGTGGGAACATCACGGCGTGGGGATGTTTTTTATCATACGGCATTGGCACGCTTCACATAGCTGAAGGAAGAATGAATGGAAGCTGGATATCTCGGGAAGACAATGATCCCAAACACAAAGTCAAGGAAACTCAGCTGGTTTCAGAAAAAGAAAATAAAGCTGCTAGAATGATCCAGTCAATAACCTGACCTGAATCCAACTGAAATCCTATGGCGAGAACTAAAGCTCAGAGTTCACAGAAAGGGCCCGCAGAACCTTCAGGATTTGAAGACTGTTTGTATGAAAGAAACTCACCTGAGCAATACATGCAACTTTTCACCTCCTGTTTCTCCATACAGAAGGCGCCTTGAAGCTGTCACCACCACCAACAGCTTTTATAAATACATTTCAGTAACCATGTTCAATACTTTTTCCCTGTGTCATTTTTCATTTTACACATAATTTATGACATCTGTGGTTTGATTTCTTTAGCTCAATTCAATTCAATTTTATTTATATAGCGCCAAATCACAACAACAGTCGCCTCAAGGCGCTTTATATTGTAAGGTAGACCCTACAATAATAGGGTCTACCTTATTATTGTCTACCTTGTGTGGATTGAAATGTGTTATTACCAGCATCTGGTGAAAATTGTATGTCAATAGCACTTTCAGAAATATATTTACTTAGTAAACTCATGACTTGTTCAATAGTTATTTTACGCGCTGTATACATTTCTGACAGATTAAACTTTTATTTATTTACATAATTGGTTTAGCTTAGCATAAAGCAAAGGTACGTAAAATAGCAAACCTAGTTCAAGTTGGTGTTTGTACATTTTTATTCTGGTACTCCACTCCAGGGTACTTTTGCATGATTCACACATAAAGAAAAATCCTCATTTATAGTGGGGTAAAAAAAATTTAAGTTTGCTCATTTACAACAGGCTCTAAAATGTATGGTAGTTTAATTTTATCAGCTGATGTGCACGTCATTGAGTAAAATAAGTATTTGATTCTCAAGCAAAACATGACTCATTAATTTGTGGAAAAACCCTTGTTGGCAAGTACAGTGTTAAGATGTTGCTTGTAGTTGGTGACTAGGTTTGTACTTATCTCAGGATTTTGGCCACTCCCCTTTACAGAAACTCTCTAAACAAGGGTGGCTGTGGCACAAGACGCCAGTGTCCGGCAGCCTCGCCTCTGTCAGTGCGCCCCAGGGTGGCTGTGGCTACAATGTAGCTGCCATCACCAGTGTGTGAATGTGTGTGTGAATGGGTGAATGACTGGATATGTAAAGCGCTTTGGGGTCCTTAGGGACTAGTAAAGCGCTATATAAATACAGGCCATTTACTAGTTTCAAGCAATGTGGTTCGATCCCTTGTTACTCCAGTCTATATGCCAAAGTACCCTTGGGTAAGATACTGAACCCAGAGTCCTCCAATGCGGTTAAGAGTGGGAGGGATCATGGTAGTTGCATCATACAATTTTTTTTCTTCAAAGATGGTGGGTTGAGTTGAAGCCAAAAAAAATCTATTTTGGTTTTCTTCTAAATCCTTTAAATGGTGTCTTACAAACTTAAGATAGGCCTACACGTCTGCATTTTTGAGCAGGGGCACCTTGTGAGCACAGCAAATTTCAAACCATTATAGCATAGTGTGTTACCAGTTGTGTTCTTGGTAACTGTGGTTCCAACTTCAGATAATCAACAAGCTTCTCCTGTGTAGTTTGGGGCTGATCCACCACTGTAGAGGCTGAGCCCACGCTTGAAGCCACTGAGATGTTCGTTGGCTGGGGTGACGCGATACCACTGTTATGAATGAAACTTATCACAGTCCGATAACTCCAGCCGTACTTATCTTGTTCGTTTAGAATCTGTATTCCACTTCCATCAGTTGCATTTGTTGTCAACAGTTC